TTGATATGAAATAACAATGCATATATATAATGTATATATAAATAAGTATGCCTCGATCGTCTTTATCTGTATCTTGGATCACCATGTCAATCAAATTAGGAATTTGTCTCTTTCGGTATTTTCGATTATTTTCATGAACTCCTTTTGGTTTAGGATCGCTAGATATCAATAAATAGCAAATTAAAATATTAGTTGAAAACCATACTGATTTAAAACTAAACTTACTGTTTGTTGCTACTTTGTTGCTTTTCAAAGGCAATTTTATTATGTTTCATTTGTCTATTTTCACGTCTTGTTTGTTCATTATTATCAGAAAGAGGATATTTAATAGATTTCTTGCTGTTTATTATTGATTTCTTACTACTGGTTATATTAATATTCGCAAATCAGAGAAGAAGTTTAACAAAAAAAAATTATAAAACATAGAATGTGTAATTCTTTTATATGTTTTGTACAGATAAACTTTCTGATAGTTTGTAAATGAAGTTTAACGAAAAAAATTCTAAAATATAGAACGCGTGATATTTTTACGTTTTGTATATATAAACTTTCTGATAGTTTGTATTTTAAAAAAAAAGTAAATAAATTACTGAAAAATTTTATACATTCAGTAACATACACATTTTATTTATTAAAAATGCCAAGGCAAAAGAAAACATGCATTAATAAAAATCATTCAAAAGTTACTAATATTAAACCTAGAACTAGAAATTTAATTAAGTGTAAATGCTTATTGCATTGTAATGGTAATAAATGGGTGGATCCTAGAACATTTGAGAGACACAAGAAAGAAATGGAACGACTTTGAGTTATTGCTTCTGGATCTCAGAGTTCTTGATCAACAAATTCCAGAAGTAAACTGATAAATATAGAGTCACCATCGATTAAAGAAAGAGAAAAAAAAATAGTAGTTGAAGCGGTTGAAGAAGATCGAAATTCACTAAATAATTCTTTCAGTGATAGTGAATCAATTTTAGGTAATAACGAACCAATCATACTAAAGAAATGAAAATGCTATAATAAGTTTTGTGATGCAATTTTTGATGATCAATATGATGAATCAGAACAAGTTTCAATAGAAGAAAGTTCTGATGAAGAATGTTTTGAGATACCACCAGGTGATGAAGAAAGTTCTTCTACTAATGATGTTCGAGATTTAAGCGAAGATGATCTTTCGTTCGAGCAATTTATCGCTCCTGATCTGGATGATCTTGAATTTGAACCAGATCACGAATATCCTAGCACTAACATTAACTTTGATGATTCATGAATACTATTGTGGATATTCAAATATCAAGCAAGATTTCGCCTTTCAGATGTTGCCATTGATTCACTTATTAAATTTTTCAGGATGGTTTTATTGGATGTTGATCAGCTGCGATTTGAAAAGTTTCCTACAAGTTCATATATGGCAAGAAAATTTTTAGGAATCAGCAAACAAGAAGTGACATTTGCTGTGTGTCCAAGCTGTAATACATTATATAAAGTTACAGAAATTTTGCCTACTAGGCATAAATGCACGCATGTGGAATACCCAAATCATCCAATATGCAATCAAAGACAACCCTGTAGAACAGAATTAACAAATAAGATTCTGGTAAATAATGGATTTGTCAGAAGACTGAAGATGTTATTCCCTATACTATCTTTAAAAATGCAAATAATGACGATGTATCAGCACCCAGGTTTCGAAGAATTACTACAAAAATGGACAAATCAGATTACCGAAACAGGTTTATTTGCAGATATTTATGATGGAGAAGTATGGAAAACCTTTCCATCATCTATTGATAACTCAGATTCTCGATTTTTCCAACACGAAACTGCTAATTCGCATCTCGGGATTATGCTGAACTTCGACTGGTTTCAGCCGTTTGAATCTTCGCCTTACAGTTCAGGTGCTATCTATGGAGTAATATGTAACTTTCCCCATGAAGTTAGATTCAAACGGGAAAATATAATATACCTTAGGCTCTTACCAGAACCAGACGAAGTAAAACTTCATAAAATTAATCATTATCTTAATCCAATTATTAATAAATTGTTAGAGTTCTGGAATGGGATAGATTTGCCTCAAACCAACGCGCATCCAATGGGAAAAAGAATCTGAATAGCAGTAATTTGCTACTCAAATGATATTCCAGCTGCAAGAAAGTTATGCGGCCACATTTCGGCATTGATCAGTTGTTATCGATGCTACAAAATAGCCAATACTGAAGGAAAGCTCAACTTCAGTGGATTTGATGATATGAACGATTGGTTCATCTAAAAAGATTTGGATGAACATAGACGGAATGCTAAAGAATGAAGGCATTGTAAATCAAAAGATGAAAGGAAACGTCATGTTTCTACAAAATTTGTTTGATGGTCTGAAATGCTAAGATTGCCTTACTTTAATCCAATAAGGCACTTAGTAGTTGTCTTATGCACTGCCTCTTCTTGAGAATAGCGCGTTAGATAGTAAAGAGATTGTGAATTGATGGTGGCAAATTAAGTAAAGCTGATCTTGAAAGAATGGAGAAACGTGCAAAAACTATAAAGGTTCCTGTTGATTTAGGCCGAATTCCGTATAAAATGGCAACAGGTGAAGGGTTTTTCAGATTTACGGCCGATCAATAGAAAACTTTTATTCTGGTATATGCAACTCCGTTAATGTGGGATCTTTTGGGTATTCCTAATCGGAAAATTCTAGCCAATTTTATTAGAGCTTGTTCATTGCTAGTATGTCGAACAATTGATGATAACGTATTGAATGAAGCTCATTTTTGACTATTATCTGTGGCCCGTTTAATTGAAGAGAATTATGGACTGGAGGTGATAACACCAAATATTCACCTTTCATTCCATCTTGCAGAATGCTACTGGGACTATGGTCCTTTATACTCATTTTGGTGCTATTCATTCAAAAGGATGAATGGAGTTCTAGGTAAGATTTTACATTATTGTTATCAAGCAATGAAAAATAAATAAAGTATTATACTTTCTTGTTTAGGTTCTC